CGATGGTTTTTCATGTGGTAACCGTGTCCTGCATACTTTGTACTTTTTTAGCTGTGGAAGGTTTGATAATACTTTTTTTTGAAGGTCTGCTTCCTCTGGTTCGCTTTCCGACTCATGTCTGGCCTTGTTTAAACCAGCCTCCTCTTCACTCTCATTGTTTAGTAAGTCTGAGCTACTTGAAGAGTCGGGGGGTGGTGGTGGATCAGGTGGGGGCCTGTCCCCATCTTCATAAACATCCTTATTCATGGAGTCACTTTTATTACGCTCTATTTCTTTAACTTCTTCCTCTTTTCCTTTACATGATTCGTTTACTTCACTTTTTCAATTTATATTGGCGCCCGATTCGTCACTAACCCGCGATCCCCTTTTCACTGGGCTTTGTTCCTCCTCGCTATGCCTGGTTGCGGCAACGAGTGGCCTGAAGTGGTTGTTTAGGAGATGCAAGTGTACATATTCCTTATTGGCATTAATCGTGGAACTTTTGAAAATTTCACACTTTTTTCCCCTCTTAGTGCCCCGTAGATGTATACAAAAATTCCTCCTGAACTCTTGTGCAAACAAAAATATGCATTCATCATTGCCATATTCTGTATTGGACTGCAGGATTTTTTCTATCTCCTCCGGGTCAACATATGAATTTTTCCACTTCGAATATTGAAGTACATCCCAGAGTTCTCGCGCCGTTGATTGCAAGTCACAGGAAAAAATAAGAGAGTCAAATAAGCAATTAACTGGTATTTCTACCGGAAGTTCTTTGATAAGTTTTGAATTTTTATTCGATTCCATACAGTTTTGTTCTAAATTCCGTTTGGCTACATTTCCACCTTCTGTTTTACTTTCAAGCTTATTACCTTCATCGGTATAATCGTCCGTTACCCCTCTTATTCTTTCATTCCCCGATAGGTTTTCATTTATCTGTGGTGATCCACGCGGAGTATCTTCCTCGCTCTATCCCCTAAGCCCGTTCTCTCCTTCGAGGGCTGTTGAGATATGTGTGTATCATTATCTGCACTTTCCGTCAGATCGCTCAGAAGTCGATCGGTGATAGTATTGGATTCCCAAGCATTTATTCTGATTTTCGGCTTGCCTTCAAAGTCTCGCCGCTTAACATCTAGTCTAACTTTCGCTTGGAAGTTATCTATTGAGTCATTAAGTAACGCTCCGATCTTTTTGTTTACTTTCGTCCCTTTTTCTGGACTTTCTTTTGTCTGTACCCTGTCGCAATTCATTTATTTGCTTCTCGCTTACACTCTCACTAGACGATCTGCTTTGTGCCCCTTTCTTTGGCGTTGGTCGGTCCCCTTCGACCGTATTCGGTATTTTCTGTTGCTGCTTGTTACTCTCTTGGAGCACACTTTGCGCGTGAGCTTGGGCCCATCGGTCATTCTCCTTCTCTCCTTTATTCGAATTTCTGCTTGACATACCTGCGTCCGGACTCATCATCTCCATGGTATCTAGAGGGTCAATCATTCTTTCTCTCTTTCCGATCAACTCTGTAACCAGGCCTTCCTGTGCCTGCTGGTGTCCCCCGTTCTTATCATTATTCGCATTTAAGACTATGATTTCTGTACCTACAGTTTTTTGTTCCTCTTTATCTTCCTCATTTGCTAGGCTAGCTGTGGCTAGTTTAAATCTTTAATGTTTTACCTGCTCGGATTTTCCTTTTAAAACCACCGGTGAGTCACAGTTCGCTATGATAATCTCCTTCGACACAGTTTCTATTTGTGGTGTTACTGAAAAATTTGGTGGGTGCCTATGCAGCGTATCCAGTTATCTTTTGCGATTTTTTCGTTGCATCTTCGGTTGTATTTCTAGTTCTAAGTACGGTGTGCTTGTTATTCCCACCCCTTATTTCAAATTTTCTTCTTTGCACATGTAAGCTAATTTATCCTCAGTTGGACCCTGTGATAGGATTTGTTCTTCACCACTGTTTAAGGATCCTATTTGGATATTTTTCCCCTTATTCTCTTTTGCGATCTGTACTATCTGTTTACGCGGCCTGCCTCTTTTCCCTTATTTCTTACGTGGTTCTGCTCCTTTACTCTCTATATTTTCACTCGCCACCGGCCACTCTGATTCTGAATATGCGTCGCTGTGTTCATTGACCGTCAACTCATCTGAGTTATTCGTCTTGCGAGGCTTTTTCCTTTCTACCTTGTTGTTCGACTTGTCTGAATTGGATATTTCTATCTGACATTTCTTATCCTTTCTTACTATGTTTCTCTCTCTTCTTGTCCGCATTTTGAATATTCGTGCGGGTGGCGCATTTATGTCACCATGACCATCTCTCTCCTGCTCTTCAGCAAGTTTATATAACTCTCGTCGCTGTAGTTCAGGATTTTTCTCTCCATCCTCTATAATCGGATCTCGGGACAGTGCATCCGGTGCCTTATTGGCTATTCCTGGTCTATAAACAACGTCAAATTCATAGCCCCTTAATTCAGCTTTAAGCCTATTAAATCTTGTGTCTGTCTTGTTTGATGAGTGAAAATGTTTAAGAGGCTCATGGTCCGTAACCACTGTAAACTTTCTGCCAAATAGATAAGGTCGAAGCTGCTCTTTTGCATATACTATTGGGAGCAATTCTTTATCGTACGTAGAGTATTGAATTTTGCTGCCTTTTAGGCATCTAGAAGCATACTCGCACGGATTGTTTTTTCCTATTTCTCCCTGACTCAATATTGCCCCAATGGCATAGTCAGATTCATCCGTTGTCACCACCAATGGTTTTTCTAGATCGGGTGCTTTAAGTACAGGCTCACTGCAAAGTGCATCTACGAGCGTTTTGAATGCTTGTTCATGCTGCTCTTTCCATTAAAACTCTGTACCTTTCTTCAGAAGCTTCGACAGCGGTTGAGAAATTTTAGCGTATCCTTTAATATCTCTCCTATAATATCCAACAAATCCGAGAAATTGTTTGATTTTCTTTTGCATTTGTAGGCCTTGGATATTTCCTTGCAGCCTCGATTTTTTTTGGATACGTTTTTATTTCACCATTTCCTACAATATGGCCTAATACTTTTGCTTCACGTTTTAGGAATTGGTACTTCTTTGGCTCAATTGTAAGATTTGCCCTTGACAATCGCTCTAACAATCTTATAAAGTGTTTGCGATGTTCTTTAAGAATTGACGCGAACACCATTATATCGTCTAAATATACCTCTACCTCATGGCCCTGCAGCCCTGCCAGTGCAAGCATTATTGCTTTTAAAAACGTGTTCGGAGAATCCGTGCAACCCATTGGTATTCTTTTGTACTGGTAATGCCCATCTGGTCCTGAAAACGCTGTTTTATGAGCATCGTCTTCATGTATTTCTACTTGAAAAAATCCCTGCTTCAAGTCTACCATTGTAATATAGCGTGCCGTCGCCAGATGTTCCAGTATATCACTCTGGAAGGGAAGTGGGTGACAACTGCTCACTGTTATCTCGTTGAGTTGCCTGAAATCTGTTACTACCCGCCAGCGCTTTTCACCATCTGGTCCTGCGTTTTTTGGTACGATCCACATGTTTGAGCTGTACGGTGACTCGAAAGGCTCTATTATGCCTTGTTCGAGTAATTTCTTACTTTCAACTTTCATTTGCTCTCTTACAGCTGGCGGATATTTATACCGCTCTGTTACTATCGGTCTATTCGTAGTCGTGTTTATTTTATAATTTAAAAGATTTGTCGCTTTCAGTTGTTCCCCGTCGAGTCCAAAAACGTACGGGTCAACCTCTATAAGCCCTTGCACATGTTTTTTCTCTTCTTCGTTGCACTCTGATATGTCGACTAACTCCATTATTTTGTCGACTTGCGCTTTCCTACAACTTAGGACGTCTGTTTTAATGTTTTCCTTAAGTATTTGAGTATTCTCGTTGTCACGGCCGTCCTTGTCACTACCCTTGTTTTAAATTAAAATTACTATATATACTATATAAAAGAATTTAAACGTTATGTAATTCGACATATCAATGAGACTCTCCACTTTGTTTACTACCTTTGTTTGAAAAGTTTATATTTATAATCAAATTTATTGTTATTTAAACAGAAACTGATAAAACAGAAAAAAACACAAATTGAAGTTATGGTACCGTGTAGGTGAGGTGTCGGCAAATATAAAAATGACAGGTTTATAAGGAACATTATAATTTTTTTATGAAAGGGGTTGGGGGTAAGCCTCTCTTTTTCCTTTCATAGAGTTGTCTCACAAACAATTATAAGTTAATTTAGGGGGCGTGAAGGGGCTGTGGGGGTAAGTATTCCATAATGACCTCATGATAAAGGATTTTAAAAATTCCTTTTTAGTTTTTGTGAGAAGAAGGGAGGGCTGTGGGGTTGAAAAATTACCCTATATGTACCTTATCTAACATATTTTTATTAAAATCTAATGGGTATGGTAATGGTAATGGGTCGGTGGTCACACAAACTTTATTTGGTTAAATTCACAGAGAAATAAACAGAATTTTTCCTTGTTTTTTTTGGGCGGGGAGGTTAAAAAATGGCTGTGGAGGGACCATCAAAGTATGGGGGGACGTGTAGACAGCCCCACAAAAATAGCTTTGTCAAATAGGAAAATATGTAATTTTATCACATGCAAATCTGCAGGCAAAAAAATAAAAGTAGACGATAATTGATTGAAAGTCATGCCAAACTGCGTCGAAGGTAAGCAGCGTGGCAGCTATGTTTGGTCCACACTTTCGTCTGCTTTTAATTATCACTTCAGTGCTCTTTTATCGGACATAAGATGTTATTTCTCTATGTGTCAATGTTTATTATATTGATGAGTCTATAGTATTATTACGTATATGATAAACGATTACATACATCAGTTTCTGAAAAAGAAAGTAAAATATCGATTTAAAACTAACTCCAACAAGATTAGTACCATTGAGTTCCCGCACCATTACCTTATTGACATCAATTTAAAAGTGGCTGTAGTGGTTGTAAGGCTATGCCCACCGATACACATCTCTTTTAGAAAACAGTCATTTAAATAATTAATGTTTTGATTTCATTAGTTTCTACATTTCGAGTGGATTTTTACATATCTGGCATTGCACCACTGGATAATCAATTAATCTTATTAGGATGCTACAAAGAACTATCGAAGGATGGAAAACGGCAGCGACCTACTTTGTACATTATTGAACCAAAATATCAAGACTTTAACATCGTTTGTGAAAATTCTCTTTCATTACGTGGATATGAGGAATACAGTTGCAATGATTATCATTTGGATTGCTTAATTGAAGAAAACAGGTAACGTAACAAGTAGCTGTATGTATATTTATGAACTAGTTTAATTTAAAAAGTTACAGTCTTAACTTATTCCAAGTTCATGACGAATACCCTTACCAGCGGGTATTGCAAGTATTGTAACGCAAACAAACGACAAAAATAATGGTATATGTACTTGCGCTAATTTTTATGAAATCATATGTAGTGTACTTGCACGTACGTGACTGAATGCTTCATGAAAAACTATTTTTTATAAGTCACGTGAAACTTTATGGGAAAAAACTAACAATAATTTTAAAGCTTTCGACTAAGTATGAACGAGAAATGCACTCATACAATGACCGTTATGTCCACGTAAAAGAATTTAAAAGTATACAAATTTACTAGACACGTAAGGGAGATGCCTACATACTTTTATATTACACACACTTACAAAATTTACCGTGAGAAATCACATTTCTAAATGTTTTCTTGTTTACGCAGGAGTGCCATGTTAATGCCTGTCACTTATTTTGGGAAGAAGTAATACTTAGGACACTTCATGAACCTATAAAACAACTTTTTCGCTGAGACACACGAATGTATATGTAAAAATTTACTACACGAAGATTCTCACTTTCGTAAAAGAGAGTTTCATGACGTAAATTATTCACAGATGCGTTTTTTTATAGACCTGTAAATTGGTACAGTGTTATGAAATATTTTAAAACATTATGCTACTAAACTTACCCATAAACTTACTTAATAACTTTAAATCATTATTTGAACATGTATTGATACAAGGATTATACCGTGCTTGGTACGTAAAAATCGATTTTTCCTAGACTTTTTACTGGATTTCTAGAATAACTTGAACGAATTTTTTTTTTTTTTTCATGGCTTACTATAAAAAAGTTCGTTCATGTACTACTACATTTATTTAAGAATCTTCAATCAGATGTATTAAAATAATGTCTAAATCGAAGTGTTTCAATAAAATAGAATTTTTGTTGAGTCTAAATCTTTTTTTTACTGCATTTTGTGTATTAACTAGTTAAAAGACAAAAGGTTAAACTTAATTTCAACTTCTTACATATGTTAATAGAATGGTAAAGAGAATTTTTGTCTTTATGTGGTAAAAAGGGATATCGGTGAGGTCTACTGTTAAAATGTTCTGTAAATTTATTCGTTGTTTTTTGACTGAGTACAATATTACCATGACATATTCTCCTACATGTTTTGTAACATTATTAAAAAATTTTTTAGGAATTAAAAAAAATCAGTGTTTCGTGACAATGCCTTAATAGTGGTTTGAAAATTCGGTAACAATTTATACACTAAATTTTACTACACTAAATTTTTACAATACATAAAATCAATCATTCAAATATGTAGTCACTGATTTTGTGGAAGTGATGATACAGTTTTGTTTTGTTATTTCTAGAAGCTTAACAAAAAATTCAACCTATCTAATAAAGCAAATAAAATAAAAAATTTTTAACTTGTATGTATTAAAGTACAAGTTATAAAGGAGTTGTACGGCTCAAGGGATCAAATATTATTTGCGGCACTTAGTGCTAGAAGCTAAGTTGAAAATAATTACCTATTCGAATAACGGACTAACTAAAAAAGTTTTCTCTAGTATTGAGGGAGGTCAAGGGCTATCATAATGAGGGGAGATAAAGTGGGTTATATGATTAACAAACATAAGATGGGCCAAGGAGAGTAAAAAGGTATTATACAAATGAAATGGAGTTGCGGGAAGCCAAGGGGGTTTACAAAAATAAGAAGGCCAAAGGGTACTATTATTTCTTAGCAAATCTTACTGAATTAAATCACAAACAAACTGTACTTATTTTGTCTTATATTGATGGGTAGCTGAGGAGGGAACTTATTTATAATAAGATGAGGTGGGAGGAGTCTGGTGGTGATCAAATAGTAATATACTATTACCCAATTTAGATAACGTAGAAACTAAAAGAATTTTATCTTATTAAATGAAAAAGTAGACTTATTATGTACTGTCGATCTTCACTTTATTCGTTAAAAACGTGTTACAGCTGTTTCGGTATCACAGTACCTTCGTCAGACAAATGTACATCAAGACTTAATAATATTATACAGTGTTCTATCAAGAACATACACGCTGCGCCGTGGTCGACAATCAGATAACAGGGGCTATATACATACATAAGTTCATACATACAGAATTTTATCTTATTGTAAGGTTGGTTGAGAAAGGCTGGATAGTATGAAAAGGGTATATGTGAAACAACTTTTCATAATTGGTACATAACGTAGGTAGATTTACACATGCACATGTCTTATTGAAATTTTTAGAAATTTGTAATAAGTAGTATCAAGAAGTAAATAAGGTTAAGTTATTCACTCTCTTGGTGAATTTATATCGTCATAAAATAGTTTCGTGTTATGAAATTCAATATTTATGAATAAAAACGAATTAATATTNAAAAGAACTGATGAGACTGATGGTTAAGGAGAGAACATAAATACTTAAAGTGGCCCTGAAAAAGACCAGTGGTGAAACTTACAGCTATTCTTTATCATAATTCTTGATGATGGAGAGCTGGTTGCAGGTAGCTTGGCTTTTGCCCTCGAAGTCTCTGTCTACGGAGACCGTGATGGAGAGAGGTACGCTGCTGACCAAAGAATATCTCGTCTTCGGGTCGTTCTCTGGGTAACCAACAACTCATCGTTAGTCGAGAAAGTGGGCCTGGAGAATTCTTTCTCCGTGGGTATGCCATTGCTACGAACCACTGAGAAGGAACCATAATGGCTGCTTGAACTCACCAGGGTTGTTTTACCTCGATAGAATTTGAAGGAAAATATAGTTACTATTACCCTTAATTTGCAAAATCATTCCACTTACGGTTTTAAATGGTAATAAAGTTACATAGAAGTACCTAAAGGCAAACAAACAGATTTTTTAATATAAACCTATGCTGTCAAAAATTTGTTCTTCCACTTTAATAGTTGTAGTAGCAAACGCGTCAACAAGACGGCACCCTTTTTGTACAATAAAAGAATTAACGATGGTGAATTCCCTGAATCCAAACCAGTTTTTCTATAGTTAATATTTTTCCTTTCCGATTTTTCGTTCCCTTCCAGAATCTGGTATCTGTGATTCAGCTTTTTGTTAACATGAATATCACATTAACCTAAATTTTTTAATAACGTAACTGTTACTTCAAATTCAATTTCTTAAAACAACAACGATACGTCTAACTTTTCAATAATGTTAATAGAGTTACCTTCACGAATAAGATTGAATATTTCAACTAAAAAAATTACAAAAATGTTACTGTTTAACTTATCAGCGCTCTTGTAAGTAGCATGACGCATCCTATAGTAATGACGTACTCCTATTACGTTAAATAAAATTCAATATTACGAAAAATATTTATATTCAATTTTGAAGTATAAAAAAAGTTAAGGAAGAAAAATGATTTAATAGTCTTAACTACTACCATATTTCTGATAATGTTTCTAATAATGAAAAGAATTTAGTGGAATCCCCTCCTAAAATACTTGACTTATTTCTAAAATGTATGTTTGTATTGCATAGATCACGCAAAGTCCTGTCTACTGTTTGTAAGAGGTTTTTAGGACAATAGAAACCCGATCCTAAAGTGTTACGTCTTTAAGTAGGGATAAGTGCATCCGATGCCAGGCGCTAAGCAGGTAGTGCCGACCTTACTGGCGAGAAGTAGTCTCTATAAGTATGGAGCTCTTTTGGGATGCTTTTTTAGCAAAGATACGCTGCTTCGGTATTAGACGTCAGCTTCACTTGCTAGAAGTAGACACTTGAGATACAAAGTCTTCTCTGGAAAAAGATTACACAGCTACGAGTCGACCCGATGTACCATCGATGCAGAGAGTGACAGCTCAACTGGCAAGGTACGCCTGTACAGTAACGAGTCTCACCGAAGAAACTCTCACTTGGCCCGTGGTATACTAAGTATGGTATCAGTTAGGTAATTGGTAAATTGGTACGGCAACACACTCCCATCCATGACTGGGAGGTCTCGGCGACTGCGCCAGTAGGCTGTTACGATAACCTAGTAGGAAAAAAAACTATTTACATGACTTTAAAAAATATGAAACATTTTTAGTGACAAATTTAACATCTATTTATGATACTTCTCAGAACAAAAATCTTCTTATAAGAAACATATTTGTTCGGAATCCATCCAGTTTATTTGGTCAAATCATAAGCTGTAAAAAGTAAAAAATATAGCTATGCTGAAAAGTACCGTGCGTTCCTTTTGCCACAAACTAATCATTGGCCCTAAAGAGACGTTCATTTGCAGTTTTTCCCTTATGATCTACGAAAAGGGCTATTTTTTAAGCTGTAAGAATTTAATAATCACAAAAACTATGTTTTTAAAAAATTTTTTTCTCTTATCTCACAACTGTGTTACTAGGGCAATAAAGTCCTGGAGCTTAATCTCTACATTTTTGATCACCACAAAAACACAAATACATATTATACCTATTTAAAAATTTGGAATATTTAAGAGATTATTGTGAGGGTTGTAATAAAAAGCAGATCCCTCGCTAAATAAATTATTTATTTGTTGATTTTGATGCTGCTGCTTCAATCTCGGTAAATGTTCTGCGTTAGTTTTTTGACTCCTTAAATTGTATACATTAAAAGCATTTGAAGTTTTTCTCCTGCTTCGCCCTCTTGCGACTTTAGGTATGGTTAAGACTTTTGAAAGCCCTAACTTTTGTCAACTTTATTAAGTTCTAATGTATTTATTTGCAAGGTAGTTCGACGTCTGATGGCTCTAAAAAGGACCGGTGAGCTTCTTAAGTAAACTTTTCTTGACTGAAATTTCCAGCAAACATGACTCCCTCTATACTTCAGGGTCATCTTCTCTGGCCTGTTATTGTAGTTGGTGTCTAAAGCACTTTTTTTGCAGATTCAATTGTTTCGATGATCTAAGGTTGGGAGATTGGTTCCCGATGCTTGCCCGTTAGAGATTGTCCCGTTTGCTAAAGTTTATTTTTCCTTCGTAGCTGTTAGGTTTGCCCAGCGCAGACCTTGAAAAGGATCGGTGATTCCTGGTTGACTGCTTAGAGTCAATAGGGTAATTAGGATCGTCGTTCGCCGAGGTTCCCAGCCTTGTGACGAACAACTCCGCTCGTGACGTCTGCCTGTGAATTATTGACTTGGTTTAATAGTGGCTGGCCTTACATAATTCTGAATCGACGAATCGTTGCCGAAAATGGTAATAAAAATATACTTTTTGGCAAGGTAGTTTAAACTTACATGACTCTTAAAAGAACTGATGAGACTGATGGTTAAGGAGAGAACATAAATACTTAAAGTGGCCCTGAAAAAGACCAGTGGTGAAACTTACAGCTATTCTTTATCATAATTCTTGATGATGGAGAGCTGGTTGCAGGTAGCTTGGCTTTTGCCCTCGAAGTCTCTGTCTACGGAGACCGTGATGGAGAGAGGTACGCTGCTGACCAAAGAATATCTCGTCTTCGGGTCGTTCTCTGGGTAACCAACAACTCATCGTTAGTCGAGAAAGTGGGCCTGGAGAATTCTTTCTCCGTGGGTATGCCATTGCTACGAACCACTGAGAAGGAACCATAATGGCTGCTTGAACTCACCAGGGTTGTTTTACCTCGATAGAATTTGAAGGAAAATCTGCCTTGATAGCCCCAGGATGATTGGAAAAATTGCCCTGAAACCGCAAAGTGTTAGTGCAAATTGTGCTCTGGCTAAACACGTATCCTGGTATTTTTCTTGAGACGTTAGCATTTAGAACACGTTTTTATTGGTGGCACTCATGAATCTTAGTGGTTCGGGAAAGAGTTCGGCGTAAGTTGTTTCGTTCATTAGAAAACAGTGTTGTCGGAGCCTAGCTCTATGCTTTATGCACTGTCAAGGTTTGACTGTGGTACTCGGTACTTTGCTCGAAGACATAATAACCGGACTTATTTAATTCTATTGCTGGTAGCTTCGATTTTACTTCTACGCCACCTAGTGGATCCTACTGAACTGAAGTGAAAAGCTAGCGTATTTTTACAAAACTTTAAGCTTATTTATTGCTATNTTGTGTAGTTTGACAAAGGAGTGTAGTGAATACGTATCACCTAGTGTAATACAGCAACAAATTCGTAAGCGTATAGAAATCGAGCAAGCTAAATATAAAGAGCGTTTTGATAAAAATAGGTGAACTAATGTTAAATATAAACTTGGTGATATTGTATATATGAAAAGGAATCCTATATCCACTGGCTATTCGACAAAGCTTCAGCCATTGTACACTGAGCCGTTAGTTATTGTGGGTGTAGAGCCCAGTGATACTTATAGATTAAAAAAATTAAATGAAGCTGGAGATCGAGGCTTTGAAACAACGGCCAGTGTCAGTCAGCTGAAGGTTTGGACTGGATATAATGACGATGTCAGCTATGTAAGCGATTGTGAGTCAAGGGCAAGTGTAAGTGAATCATATGAAGGTAGCGAAAAAGAAATTGAACAATGTAAATCAATGACTAAGAGTAAAATAATCAATGTCGACAGTAACGACGTAATATTGAAAAGACCAAAAAGAAATACTCGAAAACCTGATCGCTATGGTGAATGTGCTTAAAGTTTTAATACAATGCAGTGTGATGTATTATTATTTATTTTATTGTATTGTAACCATGTATAACTTAAGTTTGGGGACCAAACAAGCACAGGATGGTCGAGTGTTAAGAAATAAGGAAAATAGTACACATATATATTTTTTTCTATTTAAGTAAGATCATTGGTATTTATATGTAGTCGTTTATTCACTTGTATAGTTGTATTGTAAGCTCGACAAAGGAATGTGGTGGTGAAATAGCTGTAGTAGAAGAAAGGGTAGAGTATATCATATCAGTTCGGTAGGGTGGTGCCGATCATCAGATACTGATCTGAGTTCGGTTAGCGAGGTCGCCCTTTCTTGCGTGCGGTATTAGAAAGGCAGTGTGCTGCGAATTATCCTTTGCACTGTATATATTTTATTAAATAAACCTGTGCTAAATTGTTATTTTATAAAAAATAATTGAGTTCAAGTCAATTATTTGAGAACTACCTATAACCCTGTTCATCGTTCATTTAATTGTACTTATGAAAGTTAACAATTCAGAAGTGGGATAAGCCAAAAAGAATGTTTTGTAGTTTGAAAGTGACTAAGCAAAATATGATTATTTAATGAGCAATTTAGACGAGTTTGATTATTTTGTTGAACATCAACTATTGGAAGTTCTTAAGCAGAGTATTATGGCGGAAGCCTATAATGCAGCCTTAACCGAAATCGAACGTCAAAAATAGCGGCGCCAGGAAGAACGTGAAACTTTCAAGAAGCAAACTAATGAGTTGCAAGCACAAATATTACAGTTACAAGCCGCACAACAGGGTCCTCAGGTGCCTGCAGACTTGACCTTAGCTTTGCAAGGAATCGGAATAGTCATGCAGAGATAAATGGCGGTGTTCGAGCAGATGCAGGGAGGAGGTGGAAACAATTCGCAGCTTTTAACTATGGCAGGTGGGCATGATGCCGTTAGAGAGTTCAACGGTAATGAAGGACCAGAGCAGTCAAGGGCTTGGATAAATGAGATGAAAAACGCTAAAATTCTCCATGGATGGTCTGATGCAGCAACTTTAGGTATTGCTAAAGCACGTCTGAAGAATGGTGCATGGAAGTGGCTTGCTTCAAAATCAGAAACTGTTCGTACATTAGAAGAATTTGTAAACGTGTTTCTTGCAACATTTACATCTGCACGCACAGGAAGTGAAAAGCTGAAGTCAATGAGTGTCCGCGTGCAAGAGCAGCACGAGAAACTACAAGACTACTTGCTGGATAAAATTTGGCTGTGCACTGGATTGGAATTCTCTGTTCAGGAAATTTCTGAGGAAGTGGCAGCTGGCTTGTGGTCCAAAGAACTTGCACAATATCTGCTTAGTAAAGAATATACATCAACAGACGAAATGCTCCGAAATTTGGTAAAAATTGATAAAATTTATGAAAATCGTCGAGATTGAGCAGCAGAGCGTCGTTAGTTAAGTCGAGGTGGTAAATCATCGAGCCAGGTACCAGTTCTACGAAATGGAACAACTACAATTACGTCAACGCGGTCAGCGATAACGGATTCTCGGAAAAGAAGCCGAGCTGTAATGGATGCCGAAAATCGAGGTTTGATTAAATGTTTCAATTGTAAGCAATTAGGGCATATTTCTCGTAATGGTTCTGAATCGCGAAAAGAGATAACTTGTTATAAATGTAAAAAAACTGGACATATAGCGTCGCGTTGCCTGGATAAAGATGGTGTAGTTAATATCGAAGAAATAAATACTGTGAGCTCTAAATTGGGCGATGAAAAAGAACAAAAATTTATACGCGAAATAAGTCTAGTCACGGCAAAATTAGTAAGCCAAATAGAAATGGGCTCATCAGTTTGCACGATTAAGTTAACAGTAGTAATGCGCAAGAAATTCAAAATTGTGAGCGCACAATCAGTGTTAAAGGGTTTTGGCGGTAATAACGTTAAGTCGTTTGGAGTCATAGAAGAGTATGTGAAACTCGATAATTTAAAACCAAGAAAACTTGTATTACGCGTTGTACCAGATGACTCACACAAGTATGACGTATTGCTTGGGCGTCCATTTACCGACGCACAAGATTTGAGTTATTTACGCCAGGGCTCTGATTTGAATTTCTTCGACGTTAATCCGAGTTTCTTCGTTGATGATGAAACGAAAACCGAGAAAGCGCGGGCAGATAAGAGTATGTCGTTAAAACCGGGGGAAGTAAATTTCATTAATGTTGAATTCGATTCACGTGTTTTGAAAATGCCTATTGTAAATAATGAAGATAAAGCGTTGAAAGTAAACATTGGACAGAAAGTAGGAGAATCAGTTTTGTCAATAGAAAGCAGTAACACTTAAAATAATATCGAATCGCATGTAGAGAAAATAACAATAGACGAAGTGTTTACCGATGAAAATGTATCTAGCGAACAGAAATCCGAGTTGTTACAATTTTTAAATATGTACCGTGATTGCGTAGCGAAAGATATAAGCGAGATTGGTAAAACTAACGAAATAACTATAAAAATTAAGCTGGATAAAGATGTACCTTTTAGTTCAAGGCCGTATCGTTTAAATGCTCGTGATCGTGCTGACTTAGATAAAATCGTTAATGACTATAAGCAAGCGGGTTTGGTGACAGATACTAGTTCTCGTTATATGAGTCCAGCGTTCGTTGTACGAAAGAAAGATGGGACGGCTCGTATGGTAGTAGATTATCGTCAGCTTAATAAAATTACACAAGTTGTCCCGTACCCTATACCAAATTTTGATGATTTGCTAGAGGAATTAAATAACGCGAATATTTTCATAACTTTGGATTTAGCATGCGGGTATCTTCAAATGCCACTAGATGATAAGTCAAAACAGTACACAGCGTTTACCACCGAAACGCAAACGGGACAATTTGAGTGAGCAATGTTTGGACTTGCAAATGCTCCGCGTTATTTTGCGAAGCTTATTCAACGAATTTTTGGAGATGCGCGTCGACAAGGGATCGCGTTTTACTTTTTCGATGATATTTTCATTTATGCAAAAAATTTGAACGCTCTCATGGTAAACTTGCAAAATATATTATGTTTATTACGTGATGCAGGTTTAACTTTAAATATATCTAAATGTCTATTTGGAATAAAGCAGGTAGAGTACTTGGGTTGTATTTTGGCGTAAGGAAAGCTTATGCCGGGTGAGCGAAAGATTATTGCCATATCACATTTTCCAACACCAAAAGATAAACACGAGGTTCGACGATTTCTGGGAATGGCGAGCTTTTTCAGACGCTTTATAATTGGATTTGCTATTATTGCTAGGCTTCTATCAGTTTTGTTAAAAGATAAGAGTGAATTCGTGTGGGGTTCCGTACAGGAACACGCCTTCCAGGAAGTAAAGTCGAAGCTCGTGTCTAAACCGACTTTGAGATTATATAACGCGAGAGCGTGTCGTACTGAGCTTCATACAGATGCTTCTTCATTAGGCTTGGGCGCGATATTGTTGCAAGCTGATGGTGATGAACCGCTGCGCATGGTATATGCGATTAGTAAGAGCACAACTGAAGTTGAGTCGCAATATCATTCCAGCCGGTTGGAATTGATGGCAATAGCATGAGCTCTTCGGCGTTGACGATCATTTTTGATAGGAATTAGATTTGTTATCATTACTGATTGTTAGTGTTTATTAAATATTAACGCGTGGAAAACGAAAAATGCACAAATTGGGCGTTAGGTCAGCAAAATTTCCGAATTTGATTTTGATATTAAACACCGTGGAGGGGAATAAATGCAGCATGTAGATGCACTCTCTCATGCTCCCGTTGATAGTGATCAAAACGAACACAGCTTTTCTGTTATGAGCGTACAAACTGAAGAAAATGAAATTTTAGTTTTCCAGCGTAGTGATCATAAAGTTTTAGAAATGGTAAATATTTTGCAAAAGAAAGAGTGTGAGAGAGATAAATAGCAAAAACAAAAGGTTACAGATTTTGCATTGCGCGATGGTATTCTAAAAAAAAAAAATAGTGCTGAACGAAAGGGTCTTGGAGGTTTATGTAGTTCCTGATGTGATGCGCAAATCGTTAGTAATTCGTTATCATGAATTGTCGAGTCATTTTGGTATAGATAAGACTGTTGAGCAAATCCAAAAGAACTTTTACTTTCCGAAAATGAGGAGATATGTACGAATGCATATAAAAAACTGTTTCGAATGTATTTTGGCGAAAACTGAGGTGGGTCTACAAGAAGGTGAATTGCATCCGATTGCACCGGGACGTAGACCATTCGAATTAGTACATATCGACCATTTGGGTCCCTTTCCTACCACAGCACGTAATAATCCTTACGTTCTTGAAATTACAGATAATCTAACTAAATTTGTAGTGTTGGAACCGGTGAAATCGGTGCAAGCTCATACTACCGTTAAGAAAATTGAAAACTTCATTATGCAGTTTGGGGTACCAGGGCGAATCGTATCAGATCGTGGTCGAGCATTTATATCACTGTATTTTCAAGAGTTTTGCAACCGATTAGGTATAAAGCATACTTTAAATTCTAGTAGACATCCGCGAGCAAACGGTCTTATTAAACGAACCAATCGAACACTATTACCATCCATAAAAATTGCTGCTGATAAGAATGGCGAATTAAATTGGGATCGAGATTTAAAAGTGATCCAGCGGGATCTTAACTCAAGCGTTTATGCGTCGACTGGTAGAACACCGTATGAAGCTTTGCTTGGCTATTTGCCTCACTTTACGGATAGTCGTTTGTGTAGTTTGACAAAGGAGTGTAGTGAATACGTATCACCTAGTGTAATACAGCAACAAATTCGTAAGCGTATAGAAATCGAGCAAGCTAAATATAAAGAGCGTTTTGATAAAAATAGGTGAACTAATGTTAAATATAAACTTGGTGATATTGTATATATGAAAAGGAATCCTGTATCTACTGGCTATTCGACAAAGCTTCAGCCATTGTACACTGAGCCGTTAGTTATTGTGGGTGTAGAGCCCAGTGATACTTATAGATTAAAAAAATTAAATGAAGCTGGAGATCGAGGCTTTGAAACAACGGCCAGTGTCAGTCAGCTGAAGGTTTGGACTGGATATAATGACGATGTCAGCTATGTAAGCGATTGTGAGTCAAGGGCAAGTGTAAGTGAATCATATGAAGGTAGCGAAAAAGAAATTGAACAATGTAAATCAATGACTAAGAGTAAAATAATCAATGTCGACAGTAACGACGTAATATTGAAAAGACCAAAAAGAAATACTCGAAAACCTGATCGCTATGGTGAATGTGCTTAAAGTTTTAATACAATGCAGTGTGATGTATTATTATTTATTTTATTGTATTGTAACCATGTATAACTTAAGTTTGGGGACCAAACAAGCACAGGATGGTCGAGTGTTAAGAAATAAGGAAAATAGTACACATATATATTTTTTTCTATTTAAGTAAGATCATTGGTATTTATATGTAGTCGTTTATTCACTTGTATAGTTATATTGTAAGCTCGACGAAGGAATATGGTGGTGGGATAGCTGTAGTAGAAGAAAGGGTAGAGTATATCATATCAGTTCGGTAGGGCGGTGCCGATCATCAGATACCGATCTGAGTTCGGTTAGCGAGGTCGCCCTTTCTTGCGTGCGATATTAGAAAGGCAGTGTGCTGCGAATTATCCTTTGTACTGTATGTATTTTATTAAATAAACCTGTACTTAATTATTATTTTATAAAAAAATAATTGAGTTCAAGTCAATTATTTGAGAACTACCTATAACCCTGTTCATCGTTAATTTAATTTTACTTTCGAAAGTTAACAATTTTATATGTTTTAAATAATTACCTTTCACCCAGGAATTAAATTTTTCAGGATATCCCTTTCAGCTGACGAAAAATTTTT